CCACACACCCCCCAACCCGCGCGCGCACACAGATGCCCTCCTCACACATCCAGCCCCACCACACACACAAACACAGCCCCCACCACCAACACTCCCACCAGCACAGCAATGAAAAGGAAATATTTTGATTAACATAAACAGCGAAAAAAAAAACTGGTTGGTAAAAAAAAAAACTATAAGCACTCCCCATTCTGCTGGTAACAAACCAGGGGACGAGGTGCTTTTGACCAAAAATATATACTTCAGCGATGTGAGCTCCGATACTGGAAGCCACAGCTGGTTTCAGAGGGCTCATATCTCACCGCGCCATTCTGTTATTCTCTCCCGCAGCCACACACCTCAGTGATAGCCGGACATGGGCTCTTTCCACATTCAGCACATTCGTATGGTCTCTCTAACAGTTTGTGAGGACCTTCAGGAAATGCTGGTTCCTCAGCACATGTTCAGGAGAGAAGGGGACAGACTATCGCACTGGTGTCTTAACTGAGTCAATGGTGTTGGATCAAACAGATATCTGTCCTGTTATACATCAAACTATTATTGTTATTCTATGCATTTCTCAAAGCAGCTTCTCGTACGTACTTTGAACCGTATCGGCTCCTGGAAAGCTTTCCGCTGATAAAGAACATTTTTTTTTCTGATACGACACCGCAAAATTATTCCCACATTCGGCATAATTATACAGTCTCTCCTGTGTGTATCTGCTGGTGAGTTTGGAGGTGCTATTTCCTTGAAAATATTTTCACATTCAGTAGAGTTATATGGTTGTTTCCGCTGTATGATCGCTGGTGTCTCTGGAGATAACTTGGCCTTTTAAAACTCTTTCCACATTCAACACATCTTTACGGTTTCTCTCCCGTGTGTGATTGTCGGTGTCCCTGGAGGTCTCCTGACTTTGTGAAACTCTTTCAACATTCAACACATTTGTGTGGCCTTTTCCCGGTGTGTGATCGCTGGTGTCTCTGGAGACTGTCTGCCCTTGTGAAACACTTTCCACATTCTGCACATTTATACGGTTTCTCTCCTGTGTGTGATCGCTGGTGTGTCTGGAGATTCCCTGACGTTGTGAAACGCTTTCCACATTGAACACATTTATAAGGTTTCTCTCCTGTGTGTGATTGTCGGTGTCTCTGGAGATAACCTGACGTTGTGAAATACTTTCCACATTCTGCACATTTATACGGTTTCTCTCCTGTGTGTGACTGTCGGTGTATCTGGAGATAAGGCAACGTTGTGAAACGCTTTCCACATTGAACACATTTGTGTGGCCTCTCTCCTGTGTGTGATCGATGATGTCCCTGGAGATTACTCGAGGTTAAAAAACTCTTTCCACACTCAGCACATTTATACGGTCTCTCTCCAGTGTGTGATCGATGGTGTATTTTGAGCGATCCTGATGCTCTGAAACTCTTTCCACATTCTGCACATTTATATGGTTTCTCTCCTGTGTGTGATCGATGATGTCCCTGGAGTTTACTCGAGGATAAAAAACTCTTTCCACACTCAGCACATTTATATGGTCTCTCTCCAGTGTGTGATCGATGGTGCATTTTGAGAGATCCTGAAGCAGTGAAACTCTTTCCACACGATGGTGTATTTTGAGCGATCCTGTTGCTCTGAAACTCTTTCCACATTCTGCACATTCATATGGTTTCTCTCCTGTGTGTGATCGATGGTGAACCTGGAGATAACACGACCTTGTGAAACTCTTTCCACATTCAGCACATTTATACGGTTTCTCTCCTGTGTGTGATTGCTGGTGTCTCTGGAGTTCTCCTGATTGTGTAAAACTCTTTCCACACTGAACACATTCATATGGCCTCTCTCCTGTGTGATACCGATAGTGTATCTGGAGATAAGCTAACGTTGCAAAACGCTTTCCACATACTGCACATTTATATGGCCTCTCTCCTGTGTGTGATCGATGGTGTATCTGCAGACTGTCCGATCCTGTGAAACTCTTCCCACATTCCACACATTTATACAGACGCTTTTCTCGGAGTGATTGCTGGTGTATCTTGAGGTGCCCTGAATGTATGAAATTCTCACCACATCGGGAACATTTATACAGTCTATCTCCTGAGATCGATTGCTTGTGACCCTGTAGAGATCCTGTTTGCGAGACTCGGTTTTCTTCAACATGAAATACGATAGATTCCTGACACTCTCTCTGCTGCAAAGCATCATTTGCGCTACAAGCAGTCTGCGTTGTTGATGTGTCTTTATGGAACTCGGGATGTCTTCTGTTGTGTTCCTGGAGGAACTCGGCACAACTCAACACAACGTTGGCATGAGGCCAGGGATGAGACTCAGAATCACCTACTTTGGCTGCTGATGGGAGAAAAGAAAGATCTGGATAAGCAATATATGGGCTTTCTGTACGAATTGCTCAGGAGCAAATTTCGATTGAATCCTTGCATTTGTACAGCACCTGGTGATGTCAATGATTTACATTATTTACTGCGAACTGTACGGTCAGTAGCAGCTTACATTTATATACCGCCCTTCATGCTGGTCACTTATTGACAGTGTCAGTTTATGATGGCAACAACTACCCACAAACAGCCGTGAGGCGTCTCCGTGATTAGTGTAGTTGACCACGGTCTGGGACACAGGGAGATACTTATATTAATGCGGGAAATGCTTTCCATTGTAGGAGGTGCTGTGCTTCAGATGAAATGTTATAATGAGCTCCCGGCCATGTCTGTTCAGGTGGACAGTAAAGATCCCATGACATGTTTCCAAAAGAGAAGCGAGTTTCTCTGTGTTCCACCACACCATTAAAGGATCTTTACTATGTGTCTGGAGAGGCGCAGAGTGACTTTAGCTTAAAAGCTCGGGGTGTATGACAGTGCATCGCGCGGTGATGGGCAGGATTAGGGTGCGGGGCTCTACGGAGGATGCCATTTTGACGTTTCCCGCCTGAACCAACCAATGGTCAAAATCCACTGCGTGATGTCACTTCGCGGCCTCATATTTCAAACGCACAGACTAAATCTTCAATGAGCATTTTCCTCAATCGCCTTCCTATCCCTTCTCACGGGTCTCCTTCCCATCTGTATCCCTATCGCTTCCTCAAAACCTCTTTAATCTGGATTTCATTGTTTTTCCAATTAAGTGCCGTGTTCCCAACCCCATATTGACCACCTGCACTGCTCTCTCCTCAGTCCCCATAGCCCTTCCCATCCCCCACAGCAGTGGAAAGGCTGACCATCTCTGCTGACAGCGCTTGGTTGCCGTTCCTGACCTGAGTTGCCATTCCCCAGCCCTGTCAACTGAGCTCCATTAAAACCAGGTCACCGGGGAGAGACGGCACATCTGACAGTGCGTCGCTACCCACCCCCCCACCCCCCACTCCAGCTCTGTACTGCAGTGTCAGCCCAGACTGTCAACTCGTTGCCCGCGATGTGGGGCTCAAACCCACAAACTTCTGACTCGGAGCAAAGAGCACACCAACTGAGCCCGGCTGCCATCTGCCCGATTCTGCACTCGAGCATTTGATGCTGAGAAACTCAGATTGATTTTTCACTCACACAGGTAATCATCGTCTGGAAGATCCCTTTCCTCAGTGTAATCCCTTCTATCCCTCTTTCTCAAATCGTATCTGCTGCTCCCGTACTCTCCTCCGCTCACTCGGTTGCGTTTGGAGCTGAACCCATTTGCGATTTGATCTGCTGTAGAGAAATGTTATTTAAAACAGAAGCACACGAACATTACATTTGCAAAGCGGTTTTCAACTGAGGAGGACGTCCCAAGGTACCTTGGGCACGTTTCCTTACTCCACAAAGAGCCTCATAATAATCCCTCCAAAAACCAGAAACAATCATAAATTCGTTATTTTCAATCTACGACTGATTGTGGGACATTGCAGTGCGCAATTGGCTGCCGCGTTCGCCCACAAATATACAGTCAATTCACTTTTCAGTTTGTTCTATGAAGCGCTTTGGGACGTCCTCCCGACGTGAGAAGCGCTATATCAAATGTAAGAATTAATATTAATATTATTATTTATACCACAGGCCTCCGATTACCTAAATTATAAGTAGGAACGCGCTTATAATAAAAATAATCATAATCATTGTATTTGATATAGTGGTTTTCACGTCTTCTTGACATCTCAAAGTGCTTCTCAGAATCGACTGTAAAGTGAATTGTCTGTATATTTGAGGGCGAAACGCGGCAGCCAATTGATCACAGCAGTGTCTGTCTCACAAACAGTCGTGGGTTTAAAATGACCAATTTATTATTATTTTATATTGGAGGGATTATCTGTTTACCACACACGTAAAAAAAATCTTAACTCACTTGTGTTTGCTGTTTGAGACATTTTAAACAGTGGATTTTTAGGCACTAATTATGAAATATTCAGAAAAAATTACAGAAAGTACGTTACTGGTTGAATTAGTTTTCAAAACATAAGATGTTTTCAAAAGTCAAAGACAATGTTAAGATATAATCATTGCCAGAGCACGTTCAATGTGCTAATAAAGACTATAATTACATATTTATATTTTATTAACTCTGTAATTCAGCATGTAGAAATCAAAGCTTCAAGGTGTTTGGCATCGATCCAACCGAGACTAGAAAAATGAAAAGTTTCCGTCCCCTCTGCCAAGATTGAGACTGAATTTCTTCTCTGGTGTATTGATGTCACTTAACTATTGACAAGCGATATGTGGTAGTGGTAGTGATTGATGTATCCTCTGTACTAATCCACCTGGATTCAAACCGAACACTACAACTTGCACTTATATAGCGCCCTCCGTGCAGGATAGCGTCTCAGAGCACAATCAAAAGGAAAGGCATCATTCAGACCTTCCTCACAGACTACTTACACGTAAATGAGTACAAATCATGTTTTCAGAAATGTCATTAAATAAAACCGAAATCCCTGAGAAAGACGTTTCTAATGAAAAAAAACTAACTGCACTCTGCATCTTAGGCGTTTCACCCACAAAACACCAAATGCATTTTACAATATATTCTGTGCAGCGTTTTGAGATATCTAATTGCTGTGATGAGGCGCATTAGCAAATTGGAGGATTATAATGAAATATCACTATATATTATTAATACATTAAATTCAACAGTGCAGTAAAAATCCAACTTCATTTCACAAGTCAATAGCCAATGCATCAAAGTAAACGTGTTGTTTCAACAATATCTTCAGCAAATAAAGTAGTGACGAAGGTACCGAGAAATTGAGAGGCGATTACTTACCTTTCCCAGAGGTCGATCCACACTCCATGTCGCTCCCTTCGGTTTTCTCAGACATTCTCCCCTGCCTTGTGTTGGCAGCTCATATTTATATCTGATTAGTTTCTTTGTGGGAAGCCAATAATACAGCCGTATTCCCTTCACGTTTAAAGGTAATTGGCTGATAGTATAGCAGTTGGTTTTCTGGCAGTTTTCAAAGCCAATGTCGTCTTCATGTGATTGAGCCAAATTCACAGCTTTTGTCCACTTCTGGGTATTTCAATAGGGTGAGAATTGGATACTGCGAAAGGGAGGGGGAGAGGAGAGAAAGGCAGAGAAATGGAATAAAATATCTGAATCATCAGCAGTCTGGGTGATAATAACAATAATTATCATTGTATTTGATTCAGCGCTTTTTAAGTCTGTGGGATCTGAAAATATATTCACCGTATATCTGTGGGCGAAACGCGGCAGCCAATTGCGCACAGCAGTGTCCCACAGACAGTCGTGGATTGAAAATGACCAATTTATTATTCTTTTGTTCTGGAGGGATTATTATTAGACGTGTGGAGTAGGGAAACTTGCCCGAGGGTTTGCTCTGCCTGGAATTGATCCCAGGTGTCTCGCTCGCAAAGCTTGTGCTCTAACCACTGAGCCACAGGACCCCAAAATCTGAAGGATATTCTCCTGTAACTGCGGGACCGAATGTCTGATATCCTTAAACACAAGTTGCATTTTGTAAACCAGTGTTTAGTTTTACGCCCCGATCGCCGTCCCCGAGGAGCACAGTCACCAGATGGACGTTCTGCGTCCGACAAGCGCGGGATTGAGCCTCACTATGTAGGCGGTGGGTACAAGGAATTCCCTGCGGTTTTCCAGGTGGGCAACACATCTCAGCACTAAATGTATCAGATACCATTTGCACCTATTGAAGACGCCCATTGCAGGCTCTGAGCTGCTTAATTTCCCACCCCACACCCCACCACCACAGATAGATTTCCCCCTCCCCTCCGCCGAGGGGATTAATGTGGAGGACTGTCAGTCAGGACCCGCGAGAGAGAAACTCACTTGTCTTTTCCATTCATGTCACGAGATATTTCAATTCCCTCTCAGGTATGAGCGAAGCTGTCCAGCCCAGGAGGAGAGGGTCAGGTTACTGCCGGCCAACTCCTGGGGCCTTTGTTTAATGTGGCGTTCAATACCTACAATTTACAACAAATTAAACCGCACATTAAATGGCCCTTTGTTTACTGTGCAGTTGAATAGATACGATTTGCACCTATTGAAACTGCGCATTAAAAGTCCCTCTCTTTAATGTGCCGTTAATGTCCCCCTCTCCGACCACTCCGCCCCCTGATCTCCTCACTCCCCAATCCACCACTCGGCGCCTCCGCTCGTCTGGCACCGGCCTCCACCTTGTCCCTCCCCCCATCCGCTCCATCATTGGCGGTCGCCCTTTCAGCCACTGACCCACGAAAATCCTGAACTCTCTCCCGCAATCTTCCCGCATTGACCCCTTTCCCCCTTTTCACGTCCTGCCTGAAAATCTTCCCTTCCGACCGTGTCACCTCCCGCCCTCCCCGGGCCGGTCAAACTCCACCACGCTGAAGCGCTCTGAGACGCTAGACTGCGTGGAGGTGGCGGTTGTTGAAAAGACGCAATTTGCTCAAGTGTAAAGGCGCATTAAAGGTCTCCAGAGGGTAGGGTTCACTGCCCCCCTCCCCCCAACCAGAACTTGTGGAGTCCTGTAGCTCAGTGGTTAGAGCACTCGCTTTGCAAGTGAGAGACCGGAGTTCAATCCCAGGCAGGTCAGGGCCAAACCTTGGGCAAGTTTCCTTACTCCACACAGAGCCTAATAATAATCCCTCCAAAAAAAAAACCCAAACAAAAATGAATTGGTCATTTCCAACACACGAATGTTTGTGGGACATTGCTGTGCGCAATTGACTGCTGCGTTCGCCCACAAATATACAATCAATTCATTCTACAGTGTGTTCTGTGAAGCGCTTTGGGACGTCCTCCCGACGTGAAAAGCGCTATATAAAATGCGAGGATTATTATTATTATTGTTGCTGTTGTTGTTATTGCAGAAGCCGCGCCGTACAACATGGCGGCCCCCAGCGGAGAGCGGTGCCGTACGGCGCCGTACATGCCGACGTCACCGCGCGGGTGGGACTCCCGGCCCTGCGTCATTGCGTCTTCGCACGCGGCGGCCGTCAGCGGCGGCTCCGGATACGGAGAGAGAGAGATACCGTGAGGGACAGAGAGAGTGAGAGAGAAGGAGAGAAAGACGGTGAGGGACAGAGAGAGAAGAAGAGATAGACGGTGTGGGAGAGAGAGAGAGAGTCGGTGAGGGACAGAGAGAGAGGAGAGAGAGACGGTGAGGGACAGAGAGAGAGAGAGGGGAGAGAGAGAGACGGTGAGGAAAAGGGAGAGAGAGAGAGAAGGAGAGAGAGACGGTGAGGGACAGAGAGAGAGAGAGAGAGAGAGACGGTGAGGCACAGAGAGAGAGAGAGAGAGAAGGAGAGAGAGACGGGGGAGAGAGAGAGCGAAGGAGAGAGAAACCGTGAGGGAGGGAGAGAGAGAGAGAGAAGGAGAGAGAGACACTGAGGGCGGGAGAGATTGATAAAAAGAGAGAGAGACAGTGAGTGAGAGAGAGGGAGAAGGAGAGACAGTGACGGTGAGGGACACACACAGAGAGAGAGTGAGACGGTGAGGGAGAGAGAGAGAGAGAGAGACGGTCAGGGACAGAGAGAGAGAGAGTCGGTGAGGGACAGAGAGAAAGTGAGAGAGACGGTGAGGGACAGAGAGAGAGAGAGAGAGACGGTGAGGGACAGAGAGAGTGAGAGAGAGAAGGAGGGTGAGACGGTGAGGGAGAGAAGGAGAGAGAGACGGTGAGGGACAGAGAGAGTGAGAGAGAGAGAAGGTGAGAGAGACGGTGAGGGAGAGAGAGAGGAGAGAGAGACGGTGAGGGACAGAGAGAGTGAGAGAAGGAGAGTGAGACGGTGAGAGAGAGAAAGAGAGTGAGACGGTGAGGGAGAGAGAGAGAGGAGAGAGAGACGG